TGTACCAAGCCAGACAGTGGTAAGAAATATTGCCCCTGTCCAGATAATGCAGACATTTAAAAATAGATGAACCCTAGATAGCTTATTGTTCATTTTATTTTGTTAACAAATACGTCTACTAAATAAAATCCAGAACGATGGGGTACCATACATAAAGTAATAGACTGTTCTACTATTATAATATTTTAATTTCTCAATTTGTAAAGGCCATGGGAAAGAACATATAAAAACCATGGGGAGATGCTTTAAAAAGTAGGTCATGCATGCACGCAAAAAAGAAATGCAAATGGTCAATTAAGATATAAAAAGTTTGTCAACATTATTTTTGGCCTATCAAACCAAATAAAGGACTAGAAAGCTGGCAGCTCTGAAAGCTATTTGGTAAGACAAAGCAAATAACTGAACAAATTTAAACTCCCTGAATCTGTGATTTGCTTCCAGGAATCTATCAGAAAAGAATAATTAAAGAAGCAAAGACCTATGTACAAAAGTATTTGCAGAGGCAACCTAAATGCCCATTTATAAGAAACAGGCTCAATAAATTTATGACACCTACATAATGGAATACCAGCAGTATTTTAATATAATGCTTTAGATCTATATTTATTGGCTTGAAAAATGGTTCTAAATATACTGTAGGTAAAACACATTCTGAAGCAGATATCAAAGGAATATACATGTAATGACACAATTTTGCTTACTGATTGGAAAAGATAGAAAGAAAAATGATGAAAGGGTGACAGGAGTACGAGTGATTTTTAATTAATTCCAATTCTCTACATATATTTTACTTGTAAGTAAGAACAACAACCATGTCCTTTCCATTTAAAAAAGAACAAAAAATGCCATGTTAGCCATCATTAAGATACAGCAGCACATGCTTTCCTTGTCACCATTTCACGGCATCCATAGGCTGTCGAAAGCCAACACGTCCCTGCATTCAAAACTATGCTAAACCTCATTAATTCATCCGTTTCAAATATTTTATCACTATAGTATTATATTTGGTAACTGAAGTTTGAAGTTTTTGACATACTCTGTTCAGCGGTGTGTTTATGATCTTTACCACACTCACACACACACACACACACACACACACACACACAGGTCATTCATTCAACAAAATATGTGATAAATGAAGAAAGGCTCGGAGACTTCATTGCATAGCACACACGAAACATTATACGCGCCCAGTGAAGGTTCTTTAAGTTAAAAAGTTCTCTCAACAGCTCTAGATAAACATGTTTTATTACAAGGTGACCAGCATCCCAACTGACCAAAGCTGATTAGACCAGGGATAAGCACTTGACACAGAGTCACAAATGCCTTTGGTCTTCAAAATAATATTTCATTCTGGAGAATAGAAACGGTAGGGTCATATACTGGGGGGATATAGCAGTTGGTGTTGGGAGGGGAAAAAAAGGAAGAAAGAAAGAAATCACAGGTAGTACAGATGGAGAAGGAGTCAAGTCACCTTGGTGTTTCAGCACTTCGGTGGAGGGTGGCTATGGAGGTCCCTGGAGCTAACTGGATCCACAGTCTAGATGGAGAAGGCCTGATCAAATGAATAATTCTTATTCATGGATTATTGTGTGGGCCCAGCCTCCTGTGTTGATGCTCACAATAAACGTGCATTATCTAAATAGTTACTGCTTCAAGGCACCACAAGCAACTCTCAATGGCCTATTTTGACTCGGACCCGTCAGAATATATCGGCTATTTATCTGAATACACCCTGCTGGCTTACCCAGAAGACACGTGGAAGAAATAAACCCATAACGTAAAAGAATGAAGGCATTTTTTTTTTTTTCAAATAGCAACAAGTTACGCATAGGCCTAAGTGACGGAGAGAATCATGTCAGGAGATTAGTACACCCCCCACATTTACACACACTAACACGGTCTTCATATCCCTCTGCTAATCTTGACCATGTCTAAGAATGTGAGAGTGTAACTAAACTTCAGATTGGGTTTCTTTTATTTGGTCAACACACCGAGTACTTGGCTGAAGTTCATGTATTATGTGGGCTTTATTTTGGGGTTAATTAGGGACGGAAAGAAGGAATAAAGAGGGAGGGAGGGAGGGAGGGAGGGAGGGAGGGAGGGAGGGAGGGAGGGAGGGAGGGAGGGAGGGAGGGAGGAGCTCTTTTATATTTCTTAGCTTTTCCAACCTTCCATGGGCTAAAACTGGGTGATCATCCCAGAGATTCATGCTACCCTCCGCACCCCCAAGGTCTGCATGCTGGTCCTAATTAGAAACACGGCATCAATGGTCTTCAATCCTCAGCTGGAACTGAGACATCAACAGTGTCCTTTAACAGTTTTACAGTATCTGGTTTGGATGGGAGTTATAATTTTTGTTTTTAATCAGAAGACAGCACATCCTCTGAGTACCTATAATTATATAACACACATATAGTTTATAATATAAGTAGGTATATTAATAGGTTTTGAATATGATAACAGGAAAATATAAATGGCAAATCAGATGATTTTCCAAATGCATAGCAACATTGATCAATGAAATACAGACCTATTTCTCACTTATTCAGAGGTTCATTTCCCTCCCTTAGAAAAATACTTATCCGATGTCTGCCACACAACAGGAATCTAACGCAGGGCCGAGCAAATCTGGTCCATGCCCTCACAGAGAGGCTGCCCTTTATACTGCACAGCTTTCAGATGTTTGGAAAGAACCGACATAGACTTGGGGCATGGACAGGGGTAGAAAACCAAGAGGGAACAGAGAGAGCAACTGACGCACAAAACACCGTGGGCTAATAAGTTGATCCTCATAAGTTGATGAGAAGTAACAGTAGGAACCTGTGATATACAGAATCAATGCTCAGATGGCTTGGTAAACACCGGAACTCACAATAAGGCACGTGGTTAGCATGACTATTTGGGAAAAGGGTGTTTTTGGACGAAGACATGTTATTTGGAGAAAGTTACCGTAAACGTATTTGTAACAAAATATTTATTAAAGAAAAATCTCTTATCTCAATAAAGAATATACGTGGCTATTTGATGGAGCACAAATGTGAATATGTGTCCAACCACTGAATAGTGCCTGGCAATATAATTGCTAGTGGTTATATTTCTGTAGCTATCTTTTAAATATATATTTTGTTGATGTTCAAGTTTAAGAGAATATATGCCTTACTGTCCTGCAACCCCTATTCTGAGGAAAATAATGAATATTTTTAATTATATATTTAAAATTTTAGAACCAGCTATCTATTTGCAAAAAAAAAGGATACAAATCAGTTTTTAAGGATGTCTAGAATGCTAAGGGGGGGGGGGGAATAAGACCAAGAAAGCCAGAGAAAGAAAATAAATCCATAGGCTAGTTTGTACATAGAATGCAAACAGACCCTGACCTGCCCCCCCCCCCCCCCGCCCCCCGCCGGCTGCAGGGAGCTGAGCCCTTCAGGCTCCGAGTCAGCAGCAGCCTCGCAGGGGGTCAGCCAGTGGGACAACCAGGAGGGGCCTGCAGAACTGGAGAAAGGGAGAAGCTACGGGACTTCCTACTTTCTCTCTGCCTTCAGTAGCGAGGCTGCACCTCCACCCCACGCCCTGCACCTGTGTATATACAGAAAGTTCCAACTCCCGCCAAGTTAGCCCAGCTCCCTCTGTCCCTCCAGTCTACGAGCCTACGTCTGGTAATGGTTCCTTTTCTTTGGGCTGCCTCACTGTGCTGCCTTCCTTCTCAGATTTTATCATTGACGGAGTGATCTCTCTCCTTTCACAGTGCCCTCTACTTTAAATATTCAGAGAGTTTCCTGTTGTCTGTTAGATCCTGACAGCTACCATCACTCACTATGAGATAATCTTAGGTCTTTCAGCTCAATTCTGTATAAACAATATCACATTGGGAAATATCATGGAAAGCCTTATTATCTGCATAGGACACGCTTATGCAACAGTGAGCAGCAGGTGGGAAACAAATTGCCAGCATGATCTCTAGGAAGAGAAAAATAATTCACCAGCATCAATACACATGACATTTTGGCAACACAGATTCAATGATACGTCTTCAGTGGGCAGAGGATCTCCCTAGAAGATCCCTAGAAATCACACATGCCCATACCGTGGCTGTAACGAGTCAGTGTGACCCAAGGAGAATGTCCTGGGGAAGTCGTATCCATCTCTCATCCACCCAAGAACAACACAGATGATTCGCTTAGGACTGTCCTTTCTTGGCAAATATGGAAAATATATGGGAAAGTTATATTCCAGTTCTTCATCTCCCTAAAAGTGGAAACTAGAAAACCCTTTAGGACTCAACATCTATGCTAATGATGTGACGAGACTTTCAAGTTACCCATTAGTTATCCGGCAATAGTGAAACTTTCCCCAAGAACTCAGAAGTAATGCCCGTTAATATCTTATCATCATTTAACTTAAAAAACAACAGATTCTGGTTAGGGAAGTCATATGCCAACTTACCCAGAGAGACAAATGAACTTTTAGAAATATGTGATATATGGAACCCATTTTTTTTCAATAAAAATATGCTCACTGAGATGCCCAGGGGTACAGGAAACAAAACACTATCAGTGTTTATCTTAGCTTCTAACCATAAGAGACAGTTACTTCAGCCCATAAAAGAGGTTTATTTATTTCATTCTGGTGTCATTAAAAAATTCAATCATATGGCTAATGCCCTAGTTTTTATTACACATATACCCAGCTGTCTTTGCATCTCAATTTGGCTACCTGGGCTTCCCAAGAGGGAGCATATGCAATGACTGGAATCTTTTAGTCTCCACAGTAGTTATGGTTCTTATCATCAATTAATAAAACAGCATCATAAATCTGTAGCGCAGTATCATAAATCTGAAATGTGTACCCTCGCTGTGAAGGGTGGGTTGCTAAGCTTTGTTGCTTAGCTTGCTGTACTCACCTTAAACCATGGCAAAATCACCCATTCAGTACTCCCCGAGAGACATCTTTCCCGGGAAATGCATCCCACCCACATCCATTTCTTCTACACCTACCTGAAAGACTTCTTAATATCTTCTGCTTGGATCGTCTCAAGAATCTCTTGGTATAACTGAAGATCAAGCGTTGCTGAAGACGTAGCATTTGAAGGGCACTTCTTATGTGCATAGTAGCCTATCAAAATCCCCGAAATAAATAAAACGATGGCTGTGCAAAGTATTTTTAAAAGGCGGCAAAAGTTGCAGGGGTTGCTCTTTGGTGCAGACCTTGTGTAGCGGGTAACATAGTCAGACTCTTCTTGAAGTCTCTGAAACCTTCCTTTGGGTGAAGTTGCTGGTTGAATGGAATCAAGATTGAGATCTGTAGTCTCTGGATTCTCTAGGTTCTGAATCTCAGCACTATCTAGCTGGAACTGGTCAAAACCAGGCTCCTCCAGTTCCTTTTCCATGTCCCACTCTAAGTCAAGGGCAGTGGCTTGTAGGTCATCATTGTCCAAGTACTGTGAATGTCCTGGCGCTCTTTGATCTGCATTGACTTTCTGATAGGCCATCTTTTTACCTGTGAAAATAAGGGAAGCATATTTTCTTAAAATGAACTGTAAAATTGAATAGAGGAACTCTCAATTGAATTGGAGTGGGGAGACCAGGAAGGGAGCTCTCACACCTTGCCCTCAGCTAATGACAGATCCCAAAGGGAAGAGACACACCTTGCATTCCCAACTGGAAGAAGCCTACTTTACTACCCCAGCAGGAGAAAGGGAAAAAAAAAAAAAAAGAAAAAGAAAAAGAAAAAAAAAAAAAAAAAAGGTCTCCCTGTTCGGTAACAAGCTCAGCAAAGAAAATACAATAACTCAGCCAATGAGAAACCATCACCACCCTGAACCCTCACTTCCCTCCGAAAGACTTTTCATTCTTAGCAGCCCTCCCACCTTTCTTCTTTTCTTGAAAAGTGACAGTCCTCTCCATTGATCTCTAGTCTTGCCTATGCTTTGCCATAGTTTGCAGGTCCAGACTCGTAACTCGTCTGCTATTCCAGAGGAAAAAACAAACAAACCACAAAAACACTTTTCTGGTAAAACAACGGGCCGTTTACTTTTAAGGTTGTCAAAACAAATTAATAAAGAAAATCTCCACGGTGAAAACAAAAGAAAGCAGCAATCCGTATTAGATACCCATAAAATTGTAGTGTTTATAATCAGAGGAAATATATTGTCTCTATAGAAAAATCACATATTTGTTAATCGTTTAATCTTCTATTTTGCTGTTGATGTTTATTACAGGAAGAGAAGACAAAAAGTAAAAGTAAACTAAAAGTAGAAGGTACTTGGAGAAACTGAGAAAACATAAAATAGACACATGTACAGTCATTCCTTTGAAGCTCAGGAGAATAAAAAAGTCACAAATGGACAAGAGCATTGAGGACAATATGTTATAATGAAGGCAAAGTTTAAGCTTACATGTGGTCGAAATCACTTTTTTAAGAAAAACTGAGCGCAGGAGCAATAAAGCACAACTTTATTGCTTTAGTGGTTTATTGTTTATTAAGTTAAAGAGGAAAAAACAAAGAGACCCTGGGATGATTTACATTATCAGAACTGTTTTTAAAAAGAGATTCAGGATGGAATAGAAATAAAAGCTAAAAGGAGTCGCAATGCTATTGGAATACAAGCAGCAAAATATGGTGGACCACATAGTTGTGAGGTATCAAAAGGACTGGAGAACTTAAGGCTACCACAGAAGACCAAATGTTCCGTGAATCAGTGACATGGATTGGCCTGGATCACTGAACTTCAAATAAAGGTCTGGGATGGCATCTATCCAAAAAAGGGAAGCCTTTTGCCAGCTAGGAGAGTTTGGTTTCATAACCTTGCTACAGGAGCAGCAGATGGAGATTTTCTCCCCTGCACGGTTTTGGATGACAGTTAGTTATGTCCTGCCGAGTGGTATTAGGCCAACTGGGCTAATTAGCTACTAGCGGTCTTCAGTCTGTATTCAGTGGCCCACTGGTGCATTATGGTTGCCCATTGGGAGTATTTATACTTTGTATTTTCTGTGTAGTAGATTTGTCATCCCAGCTGGATTCGAAGGTCCCTCACTAGGTTTTATGATTTTTCTGTGCGCCCCACTGTGGTGGGTGAAGAATAGCGCTCAACAGACAACTGATTAGCTAATTGCCTTAGGGCCAGTGGTTAACAAGTAAACTCCAATAAAACAAACAGGGACTTCATGAAAGGGAGTGGCGTCAAGCACGGAATCCTGGGTATGGATTACTCTGATCCTGGCTGGCACAGGTCCGTGTTAATTAAAACGTTCTGAATTTTTCAGAGAATTCAAATGTAATTAAATACCAATCTTACAAAATATGAATTGCCATTCTAACTAGATTTCTCTTCACGACCCTATACCCTAGGATTCATTCTTACCCACAGTTGACTCACTAACAAGGAGCAATGCATGCCAGGTACTGGGATAGGCGATGAGAACGGAGATACATGGGTCCTTATTCCTCAAGTAAGGAACAATTCAGTCAGAGATAAATGCATGCATGGACCTATGGTTGAATTAAAAATGCAGAGTGCCAGGGAGACTCAGGGGTGACTGACTCCAGCATACACCACCAGAAAGGATATCCCGAGAAAGTGACCTCTCTAAGATATTTCTGGCAGGAGAGGAAGAGCTAACTAGGGCCGACCAGAGTGTGGAAGGAGGACGATCAGATGGGGAGACATTTATAAACATGCAGAAGAATGAGAATTCCTGATGCATGAACCATTTGAAAAATCCAGAACTACCAGGGTAGGAGTCCATATAGGCCTAGTAGGAGAGCAGAGGGCAGAGGTTAAGAGAAAAAGCGAGGGAAGGGGGACTTTGGGCAAAAGACTTAACTTCTGTGTAACCCATGGTCTTCCTCTGTGACACGGGCATGAAAATAACATAAATGTCACAATGTTGTCACTAGACTGAGTGCACCTAAAACATCCGTTGAGTGTTGCACAGGCTGTGATGGGCTAGAAGGGACGTCTCTGGTATTTAGAGGAGAGAGGACTGGGAAGGATTGTTGGAAGAAGTGGGTTTAGTGATGCAGAAGACATTACATGGGTCTCTAAGACATTGTGGAGAAGGAAAAGGGTATATCATATTCACATGCACGGACACTCACATGCATATGTGCTGGGTGTGATTCACTTGTCTACACTCAGTCTACATGTAGAGACAAAAAGGAAACACACTGTATGACACACCAAGAGTTATCATGAAGGCGAGTGTTTATTTGACACTATGTGTTACAGCGGCCTCAGGAATGATTCTGCAGGCCCTTTTTTTTCCCCTTCCCTCCCTCCCTTTCGAGTGGCCTGATTTCTAAAATGATTCAAGAAAGCCCAACGTTTGCATTTTGTCTTGGGTCATATCAAGAGAAGAAAGAAAAAAGAGAGAGAGAGAGAGAGAGAGAGAGAGAGCGAGAGAGAGAGAGCATGTGCAATAATTGGAGTTAGTGATAATTATTCATCTAGGTTAGGTGATAGTTGATTAATTGCTAGAGGAGCGGAGGACTCTGAAATCACACTCGGTTAAAAGAATTAAAAAAAAAAGGTAAAAGAAAATTTTGGAGGATAGGAAAAACTTGAAGGTGGTAGAAATAAAGACGCCCTAAGATCCATGATTCTAACATCTCTCTCAATGCAGAAGAGGGAAACTGAGGTCCAGAGTTGAATATTCTTTAGACTAAGGAAAGTGATATCTGGGTACATTTTTCTCAAAATGATTTGTGGTTTTATAAAAATATGAGATTAACAGTTTGACAGTAAACTAATATTAAATACACCACAATTCAACTTATTGGAGCATAAATTATAAAATACTGCAATTTCTTAACGCTAGTCATTTTTTTTCTTATTTAAACAATAAACCCCTGCCATCTTGCCCATGGTCTTATGATATTTACTTAGGTGTTCAGTTTATGCATTATTGATTAATTTCCTTAGAAACTGACCCAGGGAGGTCCTGCAGACTTCCCCTGCTCCTCATTTTAATGAATCGGAGCCTCTCTCTTTAAAGAGTGTTTGAAAACTGGAATTGTAAGAACATGGTTTATGCTCCAGGGAGACTTGGCGCGCAGGAGTTACTACAGAAGTGTGAGATCTCTAATTGTGGCCTCTAATACAAACAAAGTCACTTCTCCACAAATCATTTTAAAACCCACTGCAGTGGTGAGGCACAGTTTTCACCTCTAGCCTGCCCGCAGGCCTTCGTCACGGGTACGTCAGCAACTTAACGCTTTTCAAACATCAGCCAGAGCCATCAGTTGGAAGGTGACGCAGATACGGACAGTAAGTCCTCACCATGATGGTTACCTGCCTGCCCCCCCTGCTACCACCTGTGAACTCATGACACATCCATGAATTTACCCTAAATTCTATCTTCCGGGAGAATGGTAACTGGGTCAAAGGTAGATGGAGCCATTCGATGTAACAAATTCCAAAGTATTTCAGGAAAACTTCCAAGTAAAATAAGTATGTGAGAGCATATACAATGAAGCATTTTTAACCATTTATTTAGAAAAACGAGTTATATATATACTGTATACAAATATATTCATATATATATATATACACGCATTTTATATAAACTTAGAAATCCATTTCTTAAAATTATCTTGCTTCAAGGAACATAGTACATAGCATTTTGCAAAAATACACTATAAATCTCTGCCCTGACAGTTGTTTCCCTTTGTCTAAAATAAACTCAAAAAAACAACAACAACAGGTGTGAGTGGAGCAGCACAATTCAAACTGGTGTTATACAGGGTCATCCGTACTTGAGGTGCAGACCAGGTCATAGAAACCTGTTACATGTCCTCAAACAGAAATATCCGTAGCATCCTTACATTCTCTATTATAGCATTTAGGCTTTCTTAAAAAGCACAATGTTTTGTGAAAGGTAGATTAATCTTCTCCATGTTTTCAACACCTCTTATTCACTTAGGTGAGATCCCTTCCCACCCAGGCCTACACCAAAGGCTCAGTTGTCTTAAAAATTCAATATATTCAAACATTTATCTTTTATATACACTTATCCCTTTATAAGGAAAAGAAAGCAGATACAACTTATGCTAAAAGGTATTTTTTTTCCAGATTATGACAGGCTTAGATCAATAAAAAATGAATTTGTATTCTTACTGAGCATATGATTAGTTTAAAAATAAATCGTTACTTCTGAATGCTTTCTTTCACACGTTTTCAGTGGCTGAGACTAAATAAATTATATAGAAATAAAAGATGAATACAAAACAGGCAGAAATCTCAATATGTAATGCAATCTCTGGCTGCTGCAGATCTAGCTTAACAAAAGAGAATGGCTGGCAAATATTTCAGATGATAAATACATGTTAAACAAAGATTTCATTTAAAAGTTATATGTTACTAATGCCGCTTAGAAATATGATCACAGCACTATTATTTTCTTGCTCAGCAATCACAGTGAAGGAACTTACTATGCAAATGCCCTGGTTTTATCAATCTCTAAATTGGTAGGCTCTACAGTCAGTCTACCCGATTCAAA